TTTAATTTAGACGTAATGCACTTTTTTTTTTTATAGTTACTTGACAATTTAATGCGCTGCATTATTTTGCTCATTGCACCCTCCTGTGGCCTCGGGAGACAAGCCAGTTTCCTTAAGACCGATTTAATCTGCATATAAAACATTAGAAATTAGAGGTTTAATTTTTATTGTTTGACTATTTGACTGTTAAAACAAAAAATATTTGCTGTTTGTCTCAAATTGGGTTAATTTAAAAATACAGTGGTTAAATTTAAACATGTTTTTCTATTGCTCTTTGTTTTAAAAAAGGTTATAAAAAAATGTCGGACCCCTTTCAAACAGTGTCGCGTTCCGAACGTTGTTTAAGGGACATACACCGGTATTGCGGTATTTAAAAAATTCATATCATAACAAAAATAAACACCGGTGTTCGGTATGAACCAGTATACCGCCCAGCACTAGTTGATACATTTTTTAGCTATATCGCCCAGTCCTACTTTGTGCTTTAAGCAGTACATTAATGATAAGATATGTCTCTTGAGCATCAAATCAGCATATTGAATGATTTCTGACGGATCATGTGACAATGAAGTATAAATGTCGGAGTAATGATGCTGAAAATTTTGCTTTACCATCAGAGGAATAAATTGCATTTTAAAATGTATTCAAATAGAAAATCATTTTAATAATATTTTCACAATATTACGGTTTTTCTGTATTTTTACTAAATGCAGCCTTGATGAGGAAAAGAGACTTTTTTTCTAAGCTTGTTTTAAACATTTAATAAAGACTGCATGCACAAAGTGCAATTTCCAGCCAATAACACTCCAGTTCATGTAGATGTTTGGCTTCTTCTAGAGTGAGCCGAGAGACTCACCGATCGTGGCGCGGATGAGAGGGGAAGGGTCTCCGATGTTGTTTAAACATTCCTGCTTGATGAAGTGTGCAACTGCAGGAGGGAAGTTCTGATAGTGAACCTTCACGTTGTTCTTCAGTATCAGACCGCTGAGAGATCGAGTGGGCTCATCTGTAGAGCGTGAAGAAATGAAACAGACAGTTATAAAATCAAATTCATACATAAAGACTGTCTATAACCCTCATGGAACAACCTACATGTGTAATATGATTCAAAAATGCAATAAGCTTTATGCAAAAATAACCCAGACACCCACCTTCAGTTTTCAGCCTCGTCAGGACAAAGATAAGGTAGTTGTTGAAATCAGGAAACTGGTTCAGCTGCTCCAGTTTCTGAGAGTTAAAATGAAAGAGAATTAAGACAGATGACATTAGCACATGGTTACTGTACTAATATTGGTAAGTGACTGTACATAAATAGTCGCAGTTCAACATGTACATTGATGATACTTTAAAGCAGACAAAATATTTCATCTATAGCATATATAGACTTCTGAAATAAGAGCCCCACAGCTGATATTTATTTTCATGATATGCCACATAAACAGTATTTTTAAATCAGGTATCCAAACATATTAACGCATTGTGGAAAAAGCCCGATAACCATTCAGTGCTTTTGAAACCTGGCACATAAAGTTTACAGTTCACAAGTTTACAAATGAATAAACAAGGCTGTAAAGTTCCGTAATGACATCAGTATTTTTTTTTATACACTAATACAGGGCTGTCCAAACTCGGTCCTGGAGGGCCGATGTCCTGCAGAGCTTAGCTCCAACTTGCCTCAACACACCTGACTAGAAGTTTCTATGCCTAGTAAGAGCTTGATTAGCTGGTTCAGGTGTGTTTAATTAGGGTTGGAGCTAAACTCTGCAGGACACCGGCCCTCCAGGACCGAGTTTGGACAGCCCTGCACTAATACATCTTTGTCAGACTGTTATCTGTAATAAAAAAACCTACTGATTCTCAATATCGGTATGGTCACCACCCATATATCACAAATCCCTTGAGTTTTGTAACTGGCAGCAAATATTGGGCTGTGTAGATGAGGATACCTCCTGCACAGCTCGCTGTGTGGCTGTGTTTGGAGACTGGGAGTCTTTTAGCAGATGCAGGACCTGCTGGAGGCCTTGTTCATCCGGCTGCCACTCCATCCTACGCATAGACCACAAAAGACACAATTACAATCTCCCTCCTGTCTTCATAACATACTTCCTCATATCAAAAGATTGCAACACCTATGACTACAAAACAACTTTTTCCACTTTGTGGTCTATGTGCTTCTGCAGAACAATTTAGTCCACTACTATAGTCTTGCGTACTGTTGCTACATTGTCGAGGACATAAAACATAACAATGGTTTATACCATTGTTTGATGCAACTGCATGCCGTATTTTTATATGAAAATAAACAAGCTGAAAACACTAACTGAAAAACCTTTAGTGCTTTTCTATAGTATTAAGCCTCAAATATCAAATATACATCGGATTGGTTTCTTCTTTAAATTATAAAAAAAGTAAAAATATGAACGCATTATAATGTTATACTAAAACAAACAATGGAAAAACCCTTAAGACAACATGTAGAAAGAAAAAAAACACATCTTAAGCGTGCAGAATAACAATAGTGGACTTTGAACGATTAATTGCTGCTTTGAACGATTATGTAATTGCGGCATCCATAATTGTAATTGCGATTAGAAATTCAATTAATTGTGCAGCCCTACTTCCAGGTATGTTTCGTTCTCAATTTCAGATTGAAGAATTATTTTTGATTTTCAGTTCATTTACACGGTGTCTGTGTGTGTGTATGTATGTATGTAGATGTAACTTATGCATGTAGTTTACGCAATTCAATAAAATTCTTGAAATCTGCATAAAGGGTCTGGCTAAAATTGCTTATCCAATATCTGACCTAATTATTGTTCATTATTAAATAAAGACATCAAAGCATGAAGAAGCAAGCAATGCACATGGTCATGCCTGCATACCATTCTAAGGCCTTGTCTTTCGCTCTATGCAACAGTTCAGTTCGAAAACCTCAGACACGACCCGCATTAATAACCTTTATAACACCAGTACAAAAAGAAAAACATCATGCGAAACTTTAAATCCTAAAGCAACATAATTGTACGATTAGAAATTCAATTAATTGTGCAGCCCTACTTCCAGGTATGTTTCGTTCTCAATTTCAGATTGAAGAATTATTTTTGATTTTCAGTTCATTTACACGGTGTCTGTGTGTGTGTATGTATGTATGTATGTATATATATATATATATATATATATATATATATATATATATGTGTG